GTGTCCCGGTCATGTTGTGATGGTGTCCCGGTCATGTTTTGATGGTGTCCCGGTCGTGTTGTGACGGTGTCCCGGTCATGTTTTGATGGTGTCCCGATCATGTGATGGTGGCGCGGTCATGTTGTGATGGTGTCCCCGTCCTGTTTTGATGGTGTCCCGGTCATGTTTTGATGGTGTCCCGGTCATGTTGTGATTGTGTCCCAGGCATGTGATGGTGTCCCGGTCATGTTTTGATGGTGTCCCGGTCATGTTTTGATGGTGTCCGGGTCATGTGACGGTGTCTCGGTCATGTTGTGATGGTGCCCTGGCCATTTTGTAATGGTGTCCCGGTCATGTTTTGATGGTGTCCAAGGAAGATATGGTCGATGTGTTGAAAACAGCAGCTGTTTCCAGATTTTTCTTTTTGTCCCGGTTTGTATCTTGCTATTGGGGTCTCCAGCTGGGCTAATTTTACATATTCTGGAAATATTACGCCTTTCTTCCTTTTATTTTGTTTTTGTTTCCAATAGCGATGGCCTCCAACCTAGTAGCTTTGGTCGTTACTAGAAAGCTTCAAAGACCACACTCCTGGACTCCACGCATTCGCTAGTAGTAACAAGAAGCTTCCACGCATTCGCGCGATTCTTTTCAGGTCAAAATCCTGATTTGGAAGAGAATGTGACCCTGATCCGTGCCCTGCGCGACTCCAATGCGCCCAAGTGCCCGGGTTCAAAACAGCCTAACAGTCTACTACTAGTAACAAGTGCCACGCTAGTAGTAACAAGTGCCTTACTAGTAGTAACAAAAAGCTATTAGAATTAAATCCAAATTAATTAGAATCCTTTCAGAACATTCTTTCCTTTCAGAAGGTTTGAGTTCTTGGGCGGCTCCGAACTCTTCCCAACTCAACTACCAGTAAGGCACTTGTTACTAGAAGCGATGCACTTGTTCCTAGTAGCATCTTGTTACTACTAGTAAGGCACTTGTTACTAGAAGCGATGCACTTGTCTTTGCTTACTTTTTTTCAGTCTTCTTCTTCAAATAGACCGTTTTTTTACGTTTCTTTCCTTTTCCTTTAGAAAGATTCAAGGTTCTTGTCCTTCGACTTGCCGTTGTTCAGTGGCATCATCTCAGACCTCTATCCGGAGGCAGTTTATGCCTGTGCTTTGTATGGTATAAATGCTGTCCGACGTGGAAAGAAGCACAGGTTGAAAGAAGCAATGTGCTCTGCATGGTGTGCTGTTTGCAGGCTGTGATTCCTGATGTGGATTATGGGAAACTCAAGACTGAGATCGAAAATCAACTTCGCTTAGTCAACCTGCAGGCGACTCTTGCGACTAATCGACTCTTGCGACTCTTGCGACTCTTGCGAGTTGTGTGGTCAAAAGGTTGTGCCATCCTTCCTCACCAAGATTACGCAACTGTTGGAGACACAGCTGGTCAGGCGCTGCTAGAGATACCTACAGCGTGTCTTTATCCTTTCTTTTCTTTTTTCTTTCTTTTTGTAGCTTTCAACCTAATAGCGATCGCCTCCAAGCTAGAAGCTTCTAGCTACTAGTAGTAATGGCCTCCAACCTAGAAGCAATGGCCTTGGCCTCCAACCTTCCTTTTTTCCTTTATAGACCCTTCTTTGGCCTTGAACCTGACAGACTGGCACAGACGCGGCAGGCATGGCGTAATGCTGGTTGGCCTTACAATGACGGGGAAGTCGACCAACTCCAACATTTTGGCGAAGACCTTGACACAGCTCAAAAAGGATGCGGTGTTCTTTTTGCCTTCAGACCTTTCCTTTTCGATTCTTTCTATGGCCACTCTAGTAGCGATGGTCTCCATCCGAATAGCGATGGCCTCCAACCTAGTAGCTTCTTGTTACTAGTAGTAAGGCCAGGAGCTACTAGTAGCGCTCCTAGTAGCGATGCCCTTTGCTACTAATAGCAAACATTGTTACTACTAGTAAGGCACCTGTTACTACTAGCGTGGCACTTGTTACTAGTACCGTTCTTGTTTTTCATAGGACGGCTCCAACGACCCAGCACATCAGCTGACCAAGATCTTTTTCCTCAACCCGAAGAGTGCGCCGAAGTCCGAAACGAAGCGTCCGAAACGGATTTCCCCCATCCAACAGCTCCTCCAGGTATTACTATTGAAGAGCTCTACGGCTCCTTCAATGAAAATACTGGGGAATGGAAGGCAGGTCACGCATGTCTCACATGTGCTCGCTGGATGCCCCATGATTGACAGGTCAGCTTTCTTTTGATCCTTCCATATCCTTCCTCTTCATTTCTTACTACTAGGAACAAGAACGCTAGCAGGGGCTCCTGGCCTCACTACTAGGAGCAAGAACGCTATTAGGGGCTCCTGGCATCGCTACCAGGAGCAAAGGAAGCTACTAGTAGTTTGTTCTTCATTTCTGACATCTTTTCGCCCTCCAGGATGGTTTGGTGGCGATCCTCGTGCGAGAGGCTGTCAGCGACACCTCAGACAACAAGTGCCTGGGCGTTGACCCGAAGCCAATCGCCTTTGGAGGCCGCTATTAGTTGTTCTTTTTGTTACTACTAGTAAGGCACTTGTTACTACTAGCGATGCACTTGTTACTACTAGCTTCTTGTTAGTATATATTGCATTCATGGCTTATTTGCTTTCGTTTATTTGCTTCGCCATTTCGGCGATTGCCGATTTCAGTACTTGGTGACTTCGTGCGTTTTTTTCCGCCAAGGAAGTGGGTAAACTTTGATGGGCCGGTGGATGCTATTTGGATCGAGAACATGAATACGGTCTTGGACGACAACAAGAATCTATGATGAAACGTGGGGAAGGGAGTTGGAGGCCGCTACTAAGGTGAAGGCCATTACTAGTAGTAACAATAAAGCTACTAGTATGTTTTTGAAGCTTTCTAGTAATGACCAAAGCTACTAGGTGGAGGCCATCGCTATTAGGTTGGAGGCCATTGAAGGGAAGAAGGGCTGGGAAGCTAAGCAGCTGAATCATAGAGCCTCAGAACAAATAGAATGCAGATGAGGAAGCAATAAATCAACAGGGTAAAACAAATACAGAGTTACAGCATGATAAAAAGATAGAACGATATAACGATAGGTAGGTAGGTAGGTAGATAGACAGATATCTAGCTAGCAAGCAAATAAAGAAAGGTCCAAGTACTTTGAGTGATCCCCACTCCAAGAGGTGATTACTATAACCGAAGCACTTGTTACTAGTAGCGAGGCACTTGTTCCGAGTAGCTTCTTGTTACTACTAGTAAGGCACTTGTTACTAGTAGCGAGGCTCTTGTATTCTGACAGTCTAATATCAAGTCCATTTGTTTTGACCTGTTCCGACGTTCTGACCTTGTCCCAGCACGCGCGTTCCGACACAGCGCACGTGCCGGCACACAGGGTCCAGATACGCAATGGCCTCCAACCTAATAGCGAACCCCTAGCCTTGCAATCCTAAATGTGTTGGGGCTCAGATGAGTTTTTACAATCCCTAAACATGCAGTTTCGCTGAAATTATTCGTTGGACCAGGGTTCCAGAGGCGTTTTTATGCGGGTTGTAGATGCCTGTGCTTGGGTTGTTGTGGTAGGGAAGCATTTTCTAAGAAACGCTGGACACTTGTTGGGTAAAAAGAACATGCTGTGTGCGCTTCCCCAAAACCAGTCAAACCAAGAGAATGCATTTGAGCTGCCAGTAACTCCGAAAACGCATTGAACTCCTTTCGTTGCGTGGCTGTGCGTCGGGATGCAGCCTTCTGACATACGTTCCGACATCAAGTCAGCACCCACCCCAACAGTTGCTACCTTTTTGCAATTCCTCCCACTCTGCAAATGTCTTTATTGGATCGCCAAACAACATTTTGGCCCCGTACACCTTCTTGCTGGCATTGCCCTCATGCTGCTCACAGCGTAATTCCCCTTGCCCCTGCTTCGTGCACTGCTTGTGTTCGGGGCTAAAGAGAAAGTCCGGATTCTCATTGTTCATTCCCGGAAGATCTTTCGCAAAGACGAATATGTGTGGAATAACAAGAAGCTACTAGTAACAAGTGCCACGCTAGTAGTAACAGGTGCCTTACTAGTAGTAACAAGAAGCTATTAGGAACAAGTGCATGGTTTTGCAGCTGAGAGGGGGCAGTCACAGAGAAGTGACTTGGATTTGAATTCGTTTCCAAGGCAGGATCTGCTCTATACTCCGGCTTAAATTAATTCCTTGTGAGGATCTGAAATCAAGTCTTTTCTCAAAGGTTCAAAGCACTGCCTTAAATCTGAATTTAAAACCTTGTGGTCTCCTAGGCGGCTGAACTTTAGATTGAAGACCTCCCAAAGTCATTGGCTTTCCATCAAATTCTAATTTACGCCAGAAAATGCTGGCTCAGGCTGAGGAGGTGGAAGTTGAGACTCCTTCCAAAGGAAGGAGGCGAAAGCCATGGCAGGTTGTGGCGGTGGTGGATGTGCCTGAGTCAGAGTCTCTTCGGGTGGCTGGGCAAAAGTGGCTCTCCTCTCAGAAGATTCTTCACAAGACTCTCACCAACTCCTCTCACAATGGGAAAGCAACCTTGATAGCTCGGTGTCTTGCTTGCCAAGATTGCTCTTACCAGCACTGCTTTTCATGGACTGAAGACAACAAGCTCCAGGTTCAAGCAGTTGGCCAGCACACAGAGAACAAGAACACGGCTGTCATGAAGAGGGCGCATGCTACGTGTGACAAGAGCTTGCGAATGGAGATCGCGGCAAGATTGTCTACATCATTCCGAAATATCGGTTGGCTTATGCCACAGACCGGCGGGATGACATGCGCAGTGCATTGCGCCTGGCCCTCGCCAGCTCCTTGGAGGAGGTACACACGATGTTTTCTGTCACAAGTACTTGAGACAGGCCTTCGCAGCAATCTTTGTCACGCCCGAGGGCAAGGTGTGGATCAACATCCTGATTACCAGATCGGAGCTGCTCACACAGAACATGGTTGCTTCATCTCTGGTCTTCTGACAAAGGATGGCTGGCTCACTCCTTTGCCAAAAAGACCACAGCTTTCGCAGGCAAAAAGACCATTGTTTTGGCGCTTCAGACAAGGAGGATATCCTATGCCTGGCTCCTGCTTCGAAAGGTCGACGTTGCCGCAAAAAGCGCGTTGTGGGAAACTACTGCAAGGAGCACTATCAGGAGTGGTCAGCCTTGGAGAAGAAAGAAGATTTGTGATGCTGTGTCGAAGGTTTTTTCAAAGGCTGTAGAGTCATGGAGGCATCATCTTCAAGACTTAGTACTCTTCCTCTTTGGAAATTAAATCTTTTCTGACGAGGCAGTTGAAATCCCAAATGCTTTTGTAGATAAACCCTTCACAGCTGTTTTCCTAGATCTCTGACGAGCAGCGCCGCTTTTCCCGCGGCCGTGCTGAGGACAACTGGGAGCAAGAGCAATTGAACCTGGCTTTAGAAGTGTCTTCCCAGCAGAGCGCGGAAGCCAGAGATGCTCTCATTGTGAGCCAAGCTGCTGTTACCGCTCGCTTGCAGCCGCTGGGTTTAGAGAGGTTGTCTACTCCTATGGATGGCAATTGCCAGTTTATCGCCCTCGCATTTTCAGCCAATGCTCCAATTCTACATGACCAGCTCAGACAACAGATTTGCCAATATATGCTCGCCGTGAAAGACTTTTTCGAAGCCTTGCTCGACCTTCGCTGGGGCAACTTCGAGGCATATGTTGCGCGCATGGAGCAGCGCATTTGTTCCTCCGGCCAGTGCAGGCCATTGGGGAAAACCCAGAGATAGATCGCAAGTTTCTTCCTCCAGAGTCAGTTTCGGAGGAGATTTGGGGGCCAGAGGTTGTACTAGCTTATGTCGCTTGGAACCACTACGAAGCGACTGCTGCCTTGGCAAACGTCAAGACCCAGCGTGAAGACTGAACTTCTTTTGCAAAAAAGGCGCGCTGGTGGTGAGCTGGGAGGGGGTTTAGATTTAAATTTAAGACACGGCATTGGTTCCTGAGAGGTGCGCGCCACAGCTGGAATTTGAATTGAAGCCCCCCTAAGGTGCCCACATGGCATAGGCAACGCAGGTAGCTTAAATTCGAACTTAATTCCTTTTTGGACTTGCTTTCCAGACACATCCCGCAAAGACAGCGGAAATCATGATGCATTTACCATGCACAAAATTGAACGGATCTAAGTTGACAATGTGGGCCAACGTCAGCTGCCATCGCTATTAGGTTGGAGGCCATTGCTATTAGTAACTCAAAATATATTTGAATAATGAGTTCAGCTGCCCTGCACAAACTTCTCATTCGTGTTGTTCTGACGACTACGTGCATAGGATGCTGACAGGCTCTCCTTCCTTTGCAGCTGAGCTTGAGCTTCCCTTGTCCTTCAGGAACCACAGTGATCCAACCAAACCAAAGCTGCATCTGACCAAATTGAGGAACCCAGAATGCCACGTTCATGCTGCCAACACCTTCAAGATGCAAACTACTCGGTGATGCCGGCACCGCAACAAGTGCAAACCATGGAACGCTATGAACGGAGCAAAGGGCATCGCTACTAGGAGCGATCGGACGCTACGATCGGGGCTCCTGGCATCGCTACTAGGAGCAAGAAACTATTAGCTTATTGTTTCTACTAGCTTCTTGTTACTACTGGTAAGGCACTTGTTCCTAGTAGCGATGCACTTGTTACTACTAGGAACAGCGCTACAAGTCCAAACCGAACGGAACCGGCCTTGGAGCCCGAACGACCCGACTTTCGCATCTCGTGACAAGGGGTGAGCTAGTAGTAACAAGTGACTCGCTAGTAGTAACAAGTGCCTTACTAGTAGTAACAAAAAACTGTTAGAATTAATTTAAATTAGAATTAAATTATGTTACTGTCGTGGCAATATGTCGGCATGACAGCCGGGCAACTTGCTGGCCTGACACCATGTGGACGGCGTATGAGCATAACACTGATCACGACGCGTTCTATATACACGTTTGCACCTGAAGGTCACGTTTGCATACATGACACCATGTCGGCTTTTCGGCGTGGCAGCACCTTAGCGTGGCAAACACCGCGTCGTAGACGGAAAGGATGACATGATGTCAACATGTCATGACAACGGGCCAGCATTATGACGTGTGGTCACTATACGCCATCTAGGAGCAAGGGCATCGCTACTAGTAACAAGGGCATCGCTACTAGGAGCAAGGAGCTACTAGGGGCGCTCCTGGCCTTACTAGGAACAAGAAGCTACTAGGAAGAAAGGGCATCACATCTCATCATATCTGCAAAGCGCCCTTGAACTTGTGGCAAGCTGCTCACAAACTGGCGAAACCCTTCCGGAACTTGCTTCGGAACGGCTTGCTCCAATCTATTCTGAGGTCTTTACTATGGCAGACCCCTAAGCTTGGTTGTTGCAGACCACATAGTAGCGTCCGATCGCTCCGTTCGTAGCGATGCCCTTGTTCCTAGTAGCTTCTTGTTGCTAGAAAAAGACATCAAGGAACAAAGATGGCCTCCAACCTACTAGCGCGGGGAATAAAGAAAGCAACCAAAACATCTCCGAAGCGCCTTTCTTTCGGACCTTTTTTGCTGTTTAAAGACTTCAAGACCAGCCCGACCCCACTAAACTGGCAACAAATGCATGAAAGGATGAAACAGGATTTTCACTTCGGAGCACTTCGAGCATCAGACGCAATCACAGTTTCGACTCTTCCTTTTTCCTAGCATTACGTTTGCAACAAGATAGCTGAAATCGAGCCTTTGTGATTGTTATGGTGGTGATTGTCCGGTTCCAAGTGAACCGCAGTAAACCACTTGCAAGATTCATCTCTCTGCTGCACCAGTGTGGAATTTTGATAGTTGCCAAACATGTCGTGCAGTAAGGATGTTGTGCTTGTCCAACGGAGAACGCATCAAGCTGCCGCCAAGCATGACCGTGATGTTCGAGGCGAGCTGAGTTCTTAGGATTTTCCTGTTGTCCCCTACCAACAATTGCAACCAGGCTTTAATTTTAACACATCCAAAATCAAATGCTTCAATGCGGTAGGTTTAAGAATTTTGGGTGGGGTAATTTGGGGTAGAGTAAAAAGAGGTATGTTTTCACACCTAACGAGGTAGCTGTCGTACTTCTCAACAAGATGCTTAAATGGAGGATTAGGGCTTGGATTTTTTCAGGGAAACTGCCTGAAGGTCTTGTTTATCTTGTTGTCCTTTTCCTTTTCTTAAAGCAAAGACATGTCCTTTTCCTGGAAAAAGATTAGTAACAAGTGCCACGCTATTAGTAACAAGTGCCTTACTTGTAGTAACAAGAAGCTATTAATTTAAAATCAAATTAATAGCTTCTTGTTACTACTAGTAAGGCACCTGTTACTAATAGCAATGCACTTGTTCCTAGTAGCTTATTGTTTCTAACAGCTTCTTGTTACTACTAGTAAGGCACCTGTTACTAATAGCAATGCACTTGTTCCTAGTAGCTTATTGTTTCTAACAGCTTCTTGTTACTACTAGTAAGGCACCTGTTACTAATAGCAATGCACTTGTTACTGAAAAAGAAGGGCTCAGATTCTTCGAAGCTCCGGGACCGCCGTGGGGACGCGACGCGATGGCCTCCAGGGAGGCTTAGTGACGGCAGACGAAGGGCCTTAACCTTTCGCCACGTCTCTTGTGACATTCTTCCCTTTAGGCCGCATTTGGCCTTTCTTCTGGTGATTTTTGTAACTTTTTCTTTCGATTACTTCCTTTTTTCCATTCAAGCCTTTCGACATTGGACCGCTCCAAGCTTCTCAAGCAGGTCAACGATCTGGCAGTCGCTTCACCGGCCACCGTAAGTTGGGTCCCTCAGGACGAGCCACCGTTGCCTTTTTTGGTCGCCTTTTTGCTTCTCAACGCCCTAGCAAAAGAAAGGAATGGTTTAAAGGAAAGCGAAAGAAAGGTCGGATGGGAATCTCTCTTCTTTTTGTTCCGGTTCCTAGGTCTTGGCCTCAACTACCATTTTTACTCATCCTCAAACACTTTCACAGTTGTTCTCGACTAAAACCAAGTCTCTTTCCTTCGAATGTTTCGCGGTTGAGTTTCAGTTTTGTTTTCTTGTTTTCTTCTTTTGCTCTTATAAAGTGATCAACAGAATGCTCTTTGTGAGAACTGGAGCTGAGGTCGATGTGGTATGGTCTATTTGGAGCCAGTGCATTTGGGTCCGAGCCTTCGTGGGTTTGTTTATGTTTCGACGTGTTTCTATTAGCTTCTTGTTACTACTAGTAAGGCACTTGTTCATGTTTGTTCGGTTGGTCGATTCAGTTTCGACGTCGAGGCTGGAAACCCTTGATTCAGACGTGGGCAGAAAAGCTGCTGGGCAGAAAACGCCTTCGGGACGTTGAACGATGTCAAACATGACAACGAGGCCATTGCTATTGTGAGTCGACTTTCGAGGTTCGAGGCAAAGTTCCCAAAGTATGCCAAAGACATCGGAAAGTGGGCATTGTCTGCTTGTGAGGAGGTGAAGAAACACAGAAGTTCACGTCCTGTTCCACAGAAGTTCACTTTGAAGTGTTCCTCGACTTATCAACGCTTCTTTGTTGAAGGCCCTACCTTACATCCGGGAGGAATGCCAAGAAGCACCCGGAATCCCGAGCATGGATGCAAACCTCGTCCAGGCAAGTGAGATGAGGGATGTTCAGAAGCTACTAGGGGCTCCTGGCCTTACTACTAGGAGCAAGGACGCTCCTAGGCGTGAGGTTGGACATATCTTGATTGCCAGGCCTACCTGCGAATGCTGACTGCCTTCATTTCAGAGACCCATCAGCTCATGCCAGAAGGCGACGTCTTTCTAAATTGAGACATCAAGCCCTGAGGGCCAACGACAATTGATGCCCTTTGCTCCTAGTAGCGTCCTTGTTCCTAGTAGTAATGCCAGGAGATACTAGTAGCTTCTTGCTTCTAGTAGCGATGCCCTTGTTCCTAAAAGAAGAAAACACAAGAAAGAACAAGCCTCAAGTTCTCACACCAGTTTGGTTGCCCGATCCAAAACACTCTTGTTTCTGCAGTTTCAAGCAGAACTGTTGCCAACCAACTATGCAAACCAAACCTGAGCATGCTTCCTTAAGCGAAGGTGTTTCGAGCCCAGGTGAGGGTAAGCCCATCAAGCAGGATGATGATGCTCTCAAGCTGGTGCGCATTTACACGGCCCACAACCCAGTTCGACAGCTACAGCCTTCTTGGGTGCTACTAGTAACAAGTGCCACGCTACTAGTAACAAGAAGCTACTAGGAACAAGTGCCTTACTAGTAGTAACAAGAAGCTATTAGAAACAAGTGCCTTACTTCTAGTAACAAGTGCCTTACTAGTAGTAACAAGTGCCACGGTTTGCTTTGCGTTCCTCGTTACAGGCCATGTGTGCAATCTGGTCGTTGGGTGCCAACCTGCACGAGAATTCGTTGGATCCTCAGCGGTGTCGGTGTGGTGTTTCCTTCCTTTTTCTTACCTATTCTAGAGCCTTTGGTCATGAAATGATGAGAATCCACATCCAAAAAAGGAAACTCAAAAGAAGAACTAACACCAAAAAACAATCTACGCTATTGGGTTGGAGGGCATTGCAAGTAGGTTGGAGGCCATCACTACTAGTAACAATAAAGCTTTCTAGTATGTCTTTGAAGCTATCCTAGGAGCAAGGACGCTACTAGGGGCTCCTGGCCTCGCTACGAACGGAGCGAGGACCCCACTATCCTATTAGTAATGCCAGGAGCCCCTAGTAGCGTCCTTGCTCCTAGTAGCGATGCCCTTTGTTACTAGTAGCTTCTTGTTACTATCCTATTTATGTTTTGTCAAAGCCAAGCGACGTAAAGGGCTGAGATGCCGACAGGCGAAGCAAGTTCGTCTCGCGGATTCGTCCGAGACTTCAGCTCTTTTGCCCAGAGGCCGAGGGTGAAAAGAGAGTCTATTTTTTAACTATATATAGGAAGCTACTAGTAACAAGTGCCACGCTACTAGAAACAAGTGCCTTACTAGTAGTAACAAGAAGAATTTAATTAGAATTTATAGTTTTTTTTGTTTTATGGGGGGGTAGGCCGCTAGTAGGGAGAGGTAGTAGCTAGAGGTAGGAAGCTAGTAGAAGCTAGGTAGCTAGTACCTGCAAGTAGCTTCTACATATGGACGCAGGATGGCTCACGCTTCCTTGAAGAAGCGCTCGCACTCATGATTTGGTTCCTAGCTACTTATTTTTTTTTGACAGTTTGTTTCTTTCTTTTGGTTCCTGGAATTGGAGCGAAACTCAATTGTTCCTCTCGGTGAATTGGTCAGATCCCTGATGGTGGCGATCTTTACATGAGTTGAGCTCAGCACTTTTGCGCTTGCACTTTCGTAAAGAGAGAAAAGAAGAGAGAGAGAGAGAGAGAGAGAAGAAGAACGAACAAAGGAAAAGGAAAAACAGGTCTAAAGAAAACGAGAAAAATAACAAAGGAAAAGGAAACAACGAACAGGAGAATGACAGATCCAAAGGAGTCCAAAGGAGTTGATTTGCCAAAAGAACACTGTTTTGCAATGGCCTCCAACCTAGCAATAGCCTGCCACTTTCAGAGAAAGAACATAGAGTTTTCTTTGCGTCGCTTTGAGAGTCTTTGTCGGAGTTTCTCAGAATTTCTCTCTCTCTCTCTCAGGATGGCCGTGAATGACGAAGACATAAGGGTCCATCCCCTGACGGACATGTTACACGAAGGAAACGAGAAGAAACATCAATCAATTTGATCCTAGTAGCGAGGCCAGGAGCCCCTAGTAGCGAACATTGCTCCTAGTAGCTTCAGTCAATTTGAGTGTCTTTCAAGATTCAGTTATACATCTTTCAGGTTCATCCCCTTGCAGACATTGTTCCACACTTCCAGTTCAATCCGCAAGAGCCTGGTCCTTGACAGTGCACACTCTTGTGAGCGAAGTGCAAGCAGTTTGAACACATGCGGAACCTTGAAATAGGCTTGGTCAAGTTAATTGCTGCATGCTTGGATTCTTTTTGTTGCAAACCAGACCTAAAACGTAATTACTATTTTTTGTGTTTCAACACATCTTTTTTTCTTTTCTTTTTGCTGGGAAAGCTAAGGCCTTTCTTCAATATTCTGGTGAACACATCTGAGACAGTTGGACAACGAATGCTTGTTTCCACCTCAGGTTTAGCAAATCTCACAGATTCAGACTCTTAGCCTTTGCTACAGTAGCTGCTACACCATGCTCCATGTACTTGAAGAACGTCAAAAGAACAGAAAAGGGGAAGATGCAAGGAAAAAACCATACTTTTGGAAGCCATCGCTTTCAATTTCACTCAGTACTGCTGTTGTAGTAGTGTCGATCGGGAATCGCCTTCGACACTAACGTTTTGAGCGTCTGGAATGTCGATGACACCTCACTACCATGCCAAACATGGTCTGATTGCTATGCATGTAAAGAGGTGTTTACTGTAGCTTCTCCTTTTTTTGGAAAACATATGCTGACCGTTTGACCTCTTACATTTCATATTCTGATCGTTGCCTTTTGTACATGACTCATACAACTACTCGCGATGGCTTCCAACCAACTCAGATTGAGAACTTGATGATGGCCAACTTCCACGTCCTCTTTTCGGGTGAAACAGGCACGCCGCGGGGAAACCCCGCCGATCCACGCATCGCAAAACGGCCTAGTGGTAAGGCCAGGAGCAGTAGCTAGTAGCGATGCCCTTGTTACTAGTAGCTTCTGTTCCTAATAGCTTCTTGCTCCTAGTAGCGATGCCAGGAGCCCCTAGTAGCGTCCTTGCCCCTAGTAGCTTCGCAGGCGTTGGGAAATCGGTGGTGATCCAACAATACCTGAACACGGTGAAGATCTCAGACGGTGCTGCGCAACGTGTTGCACCACGTGAATCGTTGCGCCTTCCAAGGCCGGCGAGCTCTTTTCCACCGCATCTGCCAATTTCAGTGCTCAGACCAGCACCTCCAATGTGGGACTCTGAGAGAGGACGCTGGAACAAGGACGCTACTAGGGGCTCTTGGCCTTACTACTAGGAGCAAGGACGCTGGAGCTTTTTCAAGCCGCTTTTGGGCCTTTTTCCCGAGAGCGCCTGCGAAGGGTTCTTCGTAAAAAAACATCTGCAGAACTATGTCTCGCATCGTCTCATCTACATCTTCACATCGTCTCATCTACATCTTCACATCTTCACCTCTGCACATCCACATTCTCACCTGTATCTCTGCTCATCTTCATATATACATTCACAACTGCACATCTACATCTCTGCTCATCTTCACATCCTCACATCTACATCTCACATCTTTATACCTCTCATCTACATCTCACATCTTCACCTCTCGCTCTTCTTAACTTTCTCTCTTAAGGCCGGGGGCAGTACCGCCGGAGCACCACGAAACGCAACCCTCTGCGGAGATCGTGCGTGTCGAGTGCGCGAAATGCAGGCGAGAGTGCGATTTGTGTCTGTCCGGCGCAACCCTCTGCGGGACTGTGGACTTTGTAGTGCAACTGCGGTGCGCGGAGCAATCTGTGGAGCTGGAAGCTGAGAACTGGCGACTTTGTAGTGCAACTTTAGTGCGCGGAGTTTCTGGGGAGCTGGAAGATGAGAACTGGCGACTTTCTAGTACGACTTCAGTACGCGGAGCAATCTGTGGAGCTGGAAGCTGAGAACTGGCGACTTTGTAGTGCAACTTTAGTGCGGGGAGTTTCTGGGGAGCTGGAAGATGAGAACTGGCGACTTTCTAGTACGACTTTAGT